TGCACTCCCCTGCCACCCCCAGGGCACTGCTGGGCTCCTCGGGGTCCCCGTTCCACTCGGGGAGCTCTGCCCTCTCTCCCTCCACAGCCTTGCTCTTCCTGTGCCGCCGGATGCTGTTAAAAAAACCCTTCAGGCCTTTTTTGGGCCTGGGAAAGGAGGACTTGTCCCCACTGGGCTTCTTGTCACAGCCCTCGATGCTCCCAGGGGGAGAGTTGTCCTGCTGGCCCAGGTCCCCCCTGGTTCCGGTGTCCCCGGGCAGCTGAGCGCTGCGGGAGCAGGGCAAGGGGCCAGGATGCACATCCAAGGGGCTGTCGGGCTGGGCCCTGTCGGACGTGGCACTGCTCAGCCCGTCGTGGGTCTTGCACTTGCTGAGCCCCTTCTTGCCTTGGCCCTTGCCCCGGCCCCCGAAGAAGCTGGGCAGGGTGCAGATGCTCCTCTTGCCCCCGAACAGTTTGAAGGCCGTTTTCCGCAGCTTCCCAGGCGGCGGCGGCTGCGGCTCCGCGGAGTTATTGGCCCCCTCGGGAGGCGCGTCCCCGCCCTCCTCCCGCCGCTGGTCACCGCCGGCCCGCTCCTCCGGGCTGCCCGTCTCCATGGCAGCAGGGCTGGGATCTAGCTGGGAAGGGCGGCTTCGGGAGCACAGCCCTCCTGCAGCGGGGATGGGCTCATCACAGCCGACCTAGGACAGAGGGAAAGGCGACAGAGGTGAGAGGAAGGTGCAGAGCCAGGGGTGTCACAGGGAGAAGGACTCCATCACCAGCTGGAACTGGATCTGCAGGGGCCTCTGAGCTCCCTCCACTCCCAAAACCCAGCCACCAAAACGTTACGATGCTTAAATTTACAGTTCACCAGAGCAGGCAAATCACACGTCTCCACCGGGCAACGTCCCTGGGGACAGGCAAGTTCGACCCCCAAGCCAGCTCGCTCCAACCCCTTCAGCTTCCCAGATTGTTTTGCCTCCAGGGAGATGAGGTTCGGCCACCAGCCGCCTCTGAGTGAGGAAACAGAGGCTGCTCCAGCGGGGAGAAGGGCTGGCACCTGCCAAACCCCACTTCCCACCCTCCCACACCCTATGCCAAGCTCCAGGGAGCATCCTGAGGGAGGCCAAACCAGGACACAGCCCTCACACTACACACGTGTCCAGAAAAAAAAACACTTGGGTTACTATGCTGGCTTTTTTTTAATAGAAGATTTCAGTTGTTTTTAAAATAATCTGTCCAGCGAGGGAGAATCGCATTAAAAACACCCACTGTGAACCCCCTGATCAGATTATCCTGGAAGGAGAGAGGCAGGTTGGAAATCTGACCCTGGATCGCTGTCAGGAACGGGAGAAACAAAACAATTACAATCATGTTTCTTCTGCAGAGACGAGGGTGGAGAAATTAAATGCAATAAAACCCTCATGCACTGCCAAGCTGTAATGCCTGAGGCTGAGCTCTGACCAGCGTGAGGCCAGGGAAGCTCCCCGTGGTGTTGAGCCAGAGATCCCAAATTAAAAATACATCCAAAAGGCTTCTGCTCCTGCAACCCCACAGGAAACCCTCCATCTCAGGGTTGGTTCTTTCCCCTCAGGTCTGGGTTGCTTTGCCTCTACGATCTGGCGTCACTGACCACAGCAGGGCTTGGAACTGGATGGGCTTTAAGGTGCCTCCCAACCCAAACCATTCCATGACTCTGGAATTCTGGGATTGGTGGTAACCCCTTATATTCACCTGTCCCTCCGGAACCAGCAGCTAGGGTGTAGCCGGGGTCGCCTTCCCACTGGCAAAATGGGCTTTTCCAGCTCTGCCAGAGCCTTCCCAGAGTCCCAGATGCCTCCAAAGCCTCTGGAGCATCACTGGGCCTGGAAGGGACCCCCACTCCTGGTACCTGTGCAGGGCTGCTGGAAATCTGGGCGCTGGAATGACCCCACACCTGTACCTGGACAGCGGCTCCTCGAAAAAATAGCAATGGGGGGGATGAAACAGAGCCAGCATTTCAAAAATTCCATTTGGGAATCATTTCTCCCCGGCTCCACGTCAGCACAGGCTGTGGGCACCGTGGGGGAAGGGGGTGTTGGAGAAGAATAAAAAAAGGAAACAAATAAAAATGGAAATAAAGACAAATGAAAGGCACCGAGGGCAAAGAGCCCCGACTAATAAACCACGAAAATTAGGGCTTAAAACCACCAACAAAAACCAGCACCGCAACAATGAAGCGCAGCGGCGGGGACCCCGCAGGACCCCAGCCCGCCCAGCCCAGCCCTCCCCGCTCCCCCCGCTCCCAAACTTTCGGCCGGTCCCCGGAGATCGCGAGGGCGGGCGGGCCGGGCCGCGAGGGAGCGGCTCGGCGGGAGCGGGCGGGCACGGGCGGCGCCGGGCCCGCGGCGGACCCTCCCGTGCCGTGCAGCACTTACCGGCAGGGTGCCGGAGCCCCAGGCCCCGGAGCCGCCCGGGAGCCGCTCGGGCCCCGCCGGACCCCGGCCCAGCCCTCAGGCCGCTCAGGGGCCGCGGGTCCGCCCGGCGCGGCCGGCAGGGGCGGTGCCGCGTGACGGCGGGGGCGGTGCCAGGGACAGGGCGGGGCCTCCGCACGGGGCGGGGCCTCTGCCGGCGGCTCGCATTGGTGAGGGGCGTGGTCTGAGGCAGGAGGCGTGGCCACAACAGTGAGATCACCATGTCAATGGGCGTGGTTTTATGTAGGGGGCGTGGCCTCAGAAGTGGACTCGCAGTTAGGAGGGCGTGGCCTGTGGGGGCGTGGCCTGCACAGTGGGCGTCAATGACGGAGGGGGCGTGGCCTTGGTGGTGAAAGTGACGTCACTCACCGGGTGGGTCTGGGTTGTGGCGGGGGCGTGGTCTCAGTGATGAAATGGGGCGTGGCCTCTATGGGCGGAGCTCGATGGCGGTGGGCGTGGTCTCTGTGCCGAGGGGCGTGGTCTCCCTGCGGGGGCGTGGCCGCGGCACGGTGGGTGACAGAGGGACGAGGGGGTCCCGGACACACGGACAGGGGGGAGGTGGCACTGCCGGGTGTGCCGGGTGTGACTCTGGGCGGGCAGTGGCGTGTGCGTGTGGCGCGGGGACACCGCCCTGCCTGTGCTGCTGCCACCACGTGGGTGTCACCCCCGGGCCACCGCTGCACCCCCAGCTCACACCCACACACCCCTCGTACCCCTGGTCACACGCCGCCCGCACCCACCACTGCATCCCCCTCTCACACCGCCCATCACCCCCCAGCTCACACCGCCCATCACCCCCCAGCTCACACTGCCCATCACCCCCCAGCTCACACCGCCCATCACCCCCCCAGCACCCACCCATTGCACAACTGCCTCCCGTGCACCCCTTGCACCCCCAGCTCCCCCCCGGCTCACCCCCACCCCTCACATTCCTGACTCCTCCCATCCCACCCTCCACTGGGCAGCCTGACACTGAAGATCCCCCTTTTGGGGTCCCCCCAAATCCCAAAAGACCCCTCAGATCCCTGTGTGGGAGTGACACGTGGCTCTCTTGCATGGAAGAGACACCCTCACCCCTCCCACGGGTGGAAATCCCCCCTGGAGCGTGGCAGTGTCCCCTCTCCCACCCCCCATCTCCCGCTGGATCACCATCACTATGTCCTGGTGGTGTCTGTATGGGGAGGGAAAGGCCATCATCACCCCCCATGGAGCAATTCCCAGTGCTTTGTCCAGCTACATCCAAGCCCTGATTCTCCCCTTGGGAGAGGCCCCACAGCCTAATTAACAGATGCTGATTAATAGATCCCAGGACCCTTGAAACAAGCCCATAAATCCTGCAGGAATCTTGTGTTTGGCCAAGAGTGATCCTTGGAACTCCTGACATGGAGCTCCCACCCCCTACCTCTGCCTGGCACTGCTTCCCTTTGGGATGCCATTAGGGCAGGATAAAACACATTCTGCTGCATCCCAAAGTGCTGCAGAGCGTCACCAGCACTGGGGTTTATCCTCAGCTCTGGGCTGTGGGAGGAGCCAGGGAGGCACCTCCACCAGGGAGGGGGATCCCAGTGCCTAAGGCTGGTGAGATGGAGTCACAGAGGTGGTGCTGGGACACCCCACTCCAGGCTCATCCTGAAACTCCCCAGGCACAGCAATTCCCTGCATCCCTTCAGCGGTGCCAGCTGGGCTACCAGGCTCTTCCAAACATGGGATATGTCCCCAAACAGGTCACAAGAGTTTAACAGCAACAGTGGCAACATTTTTAATTAAAACCCCAACCCTGCCCAGTCACAGAAGACCTTCAGCTACAACACGAACCACTTTTGGGGTGAGGAAGATGATGTTGGGGTCAGAGATGAGGTGGGGTTTTGGGACTCTGGATACCCCTCCCAGCCAGGGTGGGCACACTTGGCTGGGTCCAGCCCCACTTCTGCCCCTGCTGAACAGAGGGTACTCTTGGAAAGCTCTCTGGGAATCATAGAACCAGGGAATGGGTTGGAAGGGACCTTGAAGCTCATCTCATTCCACCCCCTGCCATGGGCAGGGACATCTTCCACTATCCCAGGTTGCTCCAAGCCCCATCCAACCTGGCCTTGGACACTTCCAGGGCTGGGGCAGCCACAGCTTCTCTGGGCAGCCTGTGCCAGGGCCTGCCCACCCTGGGAAAGGGGGTTCAGGGGCAGCAGATGCCACACTGGGGGGGAACCTGCAGGCACAGACCTGGTTGTCCCCCAGGAGGGGATGAGGGAAAAGCAGCCTTTGCTCCTCTCCCTCTGCCTTCCACACCTTTTCCCAACCCCTTCTCCAACCAACACCAACTAAAGGTGAAAAAATCCCTCGGTAAAGAGGCTTAGAGGCAGACCCAGGGAAATCAGATCCTGCCCCACCGTCACTCTGATGCAGACCAGGAGCTGAGGTGTCCTGTTTCCTCTGCCCCTTCCCTCCCCAGCCTTTCACACAGGCACCGATTTTGGAGACAGGAATGACTTTGCGACACAAACTCCTGTTGGTTCCGTGGATTTCAGAGCTTCGCTCCCAGCTGTCAGAGTGGCTGTCCCTGGAGGTGGGCCCTGTGTCACGGCTGGTGCTGCAGGTAGTTGGCCAGGACTGTGGGGATCTCCAGCTGTCTGAGGGTGGGCAGGTGGCCAGGCTCCTTCAGGATTCGCCTCATGGCCAGGCGGGACTGGGACAGCAGGGACTTGGGATGAGCTGTGTGAGGAGACAGAAATAATGAGACCGTCACCCCCAAGGCCCTGCTCCCCTCCAACCCAGCAGATCAAAAATAGACAGGGTTGGACTAGATGATCTTGAAGGTCCCTTCCAACCCAAGGCTTTCCATGATTCTAGGAAAACCAAATGTCTCTTGTGCTGGGGACACAGACCCAGACACAGCTTTGCAGCACGAGTTCCACGGGAGCTGGGCAAGGAGAGGAAACCTTCCATCCTCATATGGAAAGAAGTGCATTTTTCCTTGACACAGACAGTACAGGAGAGCCCAAATTGAGCAGCAGAGAGGAGAGGAATGGTGAAAAGCAGCCTTTAACCCAACAATGGAGTGGAAATACCAGGCTATGGGAGTCATAGAATCATGGAATGGTTTGGGCTGGAAGAGACCTTAAAGCCCATCTTGCGCACCTTCCACCAGACCAGGTTGCTCCAAGCCCTGTCCAACTTGGCCTTGAACACTTCCAGGGATGGGGCAGCAGCCAAGTGATGCTGCAAGGGGAGCTGAGGCTTAAGGAAAGCCTGGGTAAAGCACAAGATAAAGGGAAGGGGAACCAGCAGCAGCCTAAACAAGCAAACCTAGTGCCTGTTTCCAAGCTTGGGCCCACCCCCAAGTTACCTCTGGCCTGCAGCAGCAGCTCCAGCCCCTCACTGCGCGGCGCTCGCCCGTCCACGGGCACGTTGGGCAGGTACACGTTGGCTCCAAAGTCAATGAGCAGCCTGATGAACTGGCTGTGGCAGCCGTGCCTCAGGCACGTCTCCAGCAGGGTCTTGGGCTCCTTGATCTGGGCGATGACCGCCTGGTCCATGCAGTTGTAGTCGGGGTCGGCGCCGTGCAGGAGCAGCAGCCTGAAGCACTCCAGGTGGCCGTAGGCGGCCGCCAGGTACAGGGGGCCAGAGCAGGACACCGAGTTGGCCGCCCAGGAGGGCAGCCTGGCCTGCACGTTGGGCTCGGCTCCGCGCTGCAGCAGCTGCCGCAGGATGTCCACGCGCCCGTCCCTGGCCGCGAGGAGCAGCGGGGAGCAGTTGTTGTAGATGCTGCCCGCGGGACTGGCCCCGGCCTCCAGCAGGGCCTCCACGCACTCGCCATGGCCGTTGCTGACGGCCACAAACAGCGGGGTCTGGGCCTTCACGTCCAGCCCGTCCACCTCGGCGCCGTGGGCCAGCAGCAGCCGCAGGCTCCGCGCGCAGCCCCGCGCGGCCGCCACGCGCAGGGGGGTGCTGGGGACCCCCCAGCCGCTCCGGCGGTTGATGAGCCGCCTGTACCTGTCCTGGGACAGCAGCCAGCCCAGCGTCTCACAGTCGTCCTCAGACACCGCCCGGATCAGCTCCTCGCTCTCCCCGCCGTCCTCCTGCTCGTCCTCCCGGGGCTGCAGCATGGAGAACATCTTGTTGATGTCCATCAGGCTCATTTTCGGGGGGGTGTCGCCCACGTGCTGCTCTCATGGTAAAGGGTAAAGGCAAAGATCTACAGGATGACAAAAGTAGGAGAGAACCAGCCCCTGACACCAACACCAGCTTTTTAGCCTTATTTTTAACGTACAGTATGGGGAAGATTTAAAAAAACATGGACAAAGAGCATTGGGTTCTGGTGCTGCTGATGGGCAGCACTGCCCTGCCACCATGTGAGGAACCCTGAGGGCGAAGGGCTGAGGCAAACACAGAGGGCAAAGGTGCAGCAGGTACATGGGTCCCGTTCCCTTAAAATCATGGAATGGTCTGGCTTGGAAGGGACCTCAAAGCCCATCCAGTTCCACGGGCAGGGACACCTTCCACTATCCTGGGTTGTTCCAACCTGGCCTTGAACACTTCCAGGGCTGGGGCAGCCACAGCTTCTCTGGGCAAGCTGTGCCAGGGCCTCCCCACCCTCACAGCCAGCAATTCCTTCCCAATATCCCATCTAACCTTGCCCTCTGGCAGTTTGAAGCCATTCCCTGTGTCCTGTCCCTCCATGCCTTGTCCCCAGTCCCTCTCCAGCTCTCCTGGAGCCCCTTTAGGCCCTGCAAGGGGCTCTCAGGTCTCCCTGGATCCTTCTCTTCTCCAGGGGAACCCCCCCAGCCTGGCTCCATCAGCCCTGAGGGTGTAAAGCGTAAGAGATTCCTCAGGGGATACTCAGGAAGGCTCTGGATGCCACAGGGTCTTGCAAGGCCCCTGCACCCACTGCTGGGCAAAGCCTCCCATTTCCCAAACCCTCAGCAATCCCCATCCAGTTTTCCCTGGGAGAAGAGAGCATGTTGGAAAAGAGCAGGAACCAACTCTGCTTCGTTACTGGAATCTCTCACCAGCACCTGCAATTCCAAGTGTTTCAGGAAACCCCGATGAAAAGCTGGCAGTGTTGGAAGGTTTTTACCCCCTGCCGGTTTTTACAGGACTTGCGTTTCAAAACAGGGGATGAGGTGAATGTGAAGGGGGTCAGTTTGATTAGGGATCAAAGACCTCTCAGCTTCTTGCTTCCCAAAACTATGCCAACATTAGAATTCCACAATTTTCCTCTCTCCTCCTGCTCAAGCCCAAGGAACACGGTTGGGTCTGGGATGTTCATAGTGAGGGGTTTGGGGTGGTGGGAGGAAGGGGGGATGCTGAGCTGATCATATTGAGCAGAGACTGAACCCCCCACGACTGCGAGCTCAGGGCAGCAGGGGACAGGAATGTGATGTCCCAGCTGGAAATGGGAAGGGCAGAGGAATTTCTCGGCAGCCCTGTGGCATCTCGGGTTTCCCCTGGGAGAGGCAGAGCTCGGTCTCTGCTCCCCCCTCGGAGGAGCCAGAGAGCTGCACCGAGCAATTAACCTCGAGCAATTAACCTCGATCTGCAAACGAGCTCGTCGTTAACGGGGCAGCCACGGGGGGCCCGTCCCAAATCCGCCCCCGAGCCCCCAGTGGCCCTCTGCCAGGCCACGGCACAGCTGGGGACAGTGGCACAAATCCGATGGCTCTGAGTGACAACAAAGCTCTGCTGGGCTTCCCGTTGCCCCAATTTATATAGAGATATCTGCAATTGTAGCATTGCTCTTATTCATTAGGCACGCTGATAATGAGCTCTGGAGCTTTGGGATCACCCCACCCACGTGGCTAATGGGGTTTGGGGGGGTTATTGCAGATTTGGTTCAAAAAGGAAGTTATATTACAAGTTATATTTCCAAGGGGAACAGTGTGGAAAAGAGCATCAGTAACATTTCCTGAACACAAACAGCATCTCCAAGGGAAGGTTACTTGGACAGTGAAAGGACTTGTGTGAGGAGCTCACAGAGGCTCCCCAACCTGAAGAGCCCAAACCAAAATTCATGGACTTCCAGAATGGTTTGAGAGGGACCTTAAAGCCCATCCAGTCCCACCCCTGCCATGGGCAGGGACACCTTCCACCAGCCCAGGTTGCTCCAAGCCCCGTCCAACCTGGCCTTGGACACTTCCAGGGATGGGGCAGCCACAGCTTCTCTGAGTAACCTGTGCCAGGGCCTGCCCACCCTCAGAGAAAGTTTTCACGTCCTGAGCTGGAAGAAGCTGTCCAGGCATCCAGTGACCTCCCAAAAAGAGGCTGTGACAGAGAACACACTTGTACAGTTGGTTCCCAGGTACCTCCCATCCCCAGGGGTCCTGGAGCTGCCTTACCTGGGGAGGGGGGTGCTCACAGCACCTGAGGCCTTGGGGGTCCCATGGAGAGTCCTGCCGTGGATCAAACCCCAAACCAGGAGCAGAGGAGAGGGGACCCTGCTGGGGATGGCCCCTGGCTCTGTGTGACCAGAGCAGGCTCAGAGCTCGCAGCTGCAATGCCACGGTGGGACAGGGGGCTAATTTTAGACCCTCAGGGGTTTTATCTTACCACTTCCATTCTTGGAAAGTTCCCCCTGGGTAAATATAGCCAGGGCAGCGAGGTGGGGGGAGGCTGGGACAGGTGCTGGGGGCTGCCTGACCCATCTGAGCAAACACAGAGCATTTGCTTCACTGATTCCTCACAGGAATCACAGGGAAATTGGGTGGTTTGGGGTCCTCTGCCAGGGCTGCCAGTCACCCAAATTCCCTCTTAACCCCTCTTCTGACTGCCTTCTCCCCTTTCACAGCAACAAAACGGCCATTTGCATCATCCAGAATTGCTTATTAAACACCAGATGAACAAAAGGCATCAAAGACAGTCCAGATTTCCCTCCTGAGCTGCTCCTTCTCCCCTGGATGCACCTGCCAGAAGGAACCATGGCTGTGGCTTTGTAAAAGTAAGCAGCAGAGAGGAAGGCAGGAAACTTTACAGGGCAAACAAAAGGAGCAGAGAACAGCACTGGGGCTCTTATCAAAAGCTGTCAGCTGGGAAGCGTAATTGTATTTTATCCAGTTCCCTTGAAACCTTCTCCCAAGTCCTGGGTGGTGCAGCAGGAGCAGCTTGGCAGTTGGAGGCAGAGTTATCAGTGGCACGAGATAACGAGAAGGGAGCCAAATTATCCAGCAGGAAAATCTCCAGTGCTGCCAGAAGTGAAATCAGGGGGCTCTGCAAAATGTGTGATGTCCCATGTCACCACCACCTGGTTTGTGGCACTGCTGGAGAGCAGGGAAATGCTCAGTATTGACTGGTTTAGACTTCTGGCTTCCTCGTAGTCTCACTCTCCAAACTCAGCCAAAAATAGGTTACTACTTCAACAAGGTCAGTTTCCCCGATGGAATTATGGAGCATTACATGGATAAACGTGGGAGCAGGAGTGGAGAGTTCAGGGTTTGCTGAGTGTCAAGAAGCTGCAACCACAACGGGGAGGCTGCAGAGAGAAAAGCCAAGCCTGGCTGGAAACCCGCAAAACACAGATATCAAAGCAGGCTTTAAAAAGACAGAGTGTTAAAAAGGGAAAGAAAAAGGCAGTGCAGACAACAGAGTGAATACATGTTAGAAAATGTGAAATGTAGGAAACTTGGAGATGAAAGCAAAATCCTTGAATGGGAAATTAATGATAAACTGCTTATTCTTTTGTTGTTGTTCTTGCTGCTGTTTAGTTGTTAACCAAGAAAGATCTTAGAAACAAGAGCAGCTCTTTGGTAAAGGAGCAGATTAACCGAATACCAATGAGGAAGCACTTGCTGAGAAACCTCCTCAGCTGGAATCACACCTGGACACACTCCTGGTGCTCCCTGTGCTGCTGCAGGAACGTGTTCCATGCATCCCATGGGAATATTTACATCAGCAGAGCCAGAGAAACCCTGATGGGAGCCCAGGGAGAGGTGACTGATGAACCTGACCCATTTTGGAGAAGCTTCCCAGTGCTTCAAACTCCAGGGAAGGCCAAGGAGTCAGGAAAAGCCTTTCCCTCCAGGAGCTCCTGCACGAGCAGCTGTCCTGAGCCAGAGGCTGACGCGGCCTGGGCTCCAGCAGAGCAACCCTTTATCAGCTCTCCCTTCACTGGGGAAGAATTAGAAGGCAAAAATGTACTTAATGCCAGTCAATAAAGTTTTTTGGGAAGGTAAATCCTGTCCAGAGTTGCTTCCATTAAAGAGATTATGGTTATTAAGGCAGCTGAGGAGAGCTAATGAGCTTTTGGATTTAAGGCTGCTAAGCATCCTGATTTAAAAGTTTAGAGTTAAACAGTCCCAAATAAATGATTTGGCAGGGATTAAGGATTTACAAACAGTCCTCAAGGTCAGAAACGCAGCTACTGAGTGGGGCTACTTTGAGCTGGGAGTCGCTGCCAGACCGCAGCGCAGCCTTTGAGCTCGGGAGTTCCCCTCCATGCCGATCACATTCCAGCACTTCTCCCTGTGGGTTCTGCTGGCCACCCTCTGTCGGCCCAGCCTGGAGGTGGCTCCAGCAGCCCTGCGATTCAGGTATTCCCCAGGAGAGGGCACAGACACCCGCCCAGAATCCCCGGGCTCCCAGCACAGCCACCGCTCCCTTGTAGGCACTTCCCAATTTACTTGGTGCATTAACACCCAAAATACAGTTAGACATGAGGGAGGAATCCAGCACCTGTTTCTTCTCCCCCCTGAGGAACTACAGCAGCATTGGAGCCCCAGGAATCGGGCTCCCTGCTTCCAAGGCCTTCTGGGAGCTCCCTTTTGGAGCCTGGAATCCAGGATGGGACCTTAAAAACCACCCAGTTCCACCTTCCACTAACCCAGGTTGCTCCCAGTTTATCCAGTCTGGCCTGGGACACTGCCAGGTGGAAAGCCCTCAGCAGGAACACCTGACAATCTGCAGATCCATCCATGGGGATTTTTGCTCCTGGCTGTGTCTTTATGGGTTCCCTGCTCCTCTCCCACAGCTGAGCAGGCTCCAAGAGCTGTTGTCCTTTGCTGAGAGAGAGGGAGCAAAAGAGATCAGGTTCATAAAGCAGCTTTGGCTTTTCCCAACCCCACTGCCCTGCTCTTACTCACGGGTTACTCAGTAACCCCTCCTAAGGGTTAGCACTTACTACAACCCTTACTCAGGGTTGTTACTCCAAAGCCTACTGGGTTTTGTATTCCTCCCCACCCCTCCACTCCCCTAAAGAGCAGGAAAATACAATTTCCAGGAGAACACTCCAATCTAGGAGCTGTTTGCAGGTAAGGGAAGCTACAATTAACACACCTTTCCTCCAAATTTCCCCCAAATGTAAACTGCAGCTTTATCAATTCTAGTCAGTGTTAATGCTAATAATCCAATTAAACGCAAGGCAAGTCTAATTAAGGTAAATTAAGGACTTCACTGGCAACATTAAGAACATTTAAAATTAGCAAGAAGGGAAAAAGGCTGTGAAGCACCTGGGGACCGAGTATACCCAAGAGCCAGGCCTAATTTTTTGCCTTAATACCTTGAAAATCCCCACTTTTAAGGTGCACGGTGCAGTGGGAAATACAGATCAGGGGCTGGATAACAGGTCTGGGCTCTGTCCCTGGGGGTCACAGCCTCATCCTGCCCAGGGGAGGATGGAGAGCTCGGGACCAGCATCTCCTGCAAGTCCCCTCCTTGTCACTCAGCTTTCCCACGAGTATTAAAAACCTCCAAATGCTTATTTTCAGGTTGATTATCAACACAGCCTGCACGGCTCTGCCAGGCACAGATTTAAACCATCCACATACATTTCCCAAGGCAAATGGCAGCCTGGAGCATTTGGGAAAGCCTTTAAAACATCAGATCAACCCCCATCCCCTCATTCCTCCCCCCCTGCAGATTTAACTGTAGGTGTGACTGTTGCTGCACAGCTCTAGTCAGGTATTGATTCCAACCTCCATCCCAAACACAAGGCACATTTTTTGCACCCGGAATCTCCCTCTTCCCTGAGCATTCTCCCTCCTCCCCCAGAGTTTTGTCTGCACTCAGAAAATGTAACACCTCCCCTTGATTTTTGAATTCATGATTAAAAAGAATGGGATAAAGGGGCATTTTTAAATGACACCCTCAGCAGTGGGGCTGTGGATTCGTCACTCAAAAGCCACCAGGAAAATCCCTTCCCCTGGAGCCTGGATCACCCTCAAAGCTGCACTCAGCTGCTCTCAGAGCCACAAGCTCTGTTGCTCCTCAGGACCCTTTGCAGTCAGCCTGCAGTCACCTGTGGTTGAGGCACAAACAGCTTCCCAGGAGGAAGAAGACACTGAAGATATTTGGCTTTAATATATAAAGATATTTGGGTTTATGTATAAAGAAAAATCTAATTTAAAAAAATCAGAGCAGCACAGCGTGAAGAAGATACTAAGTTTTAACACAGCTTCATTAGTAGTTGTTTTTAAAGACCCTGGGCAGAGCTGCACCCCCCAAAACCATTAAGGCTACCCCATTTCCCTCCTGTAAGGGAAGGGGAAGTGGCACCACACTCACTTTTAGATAAGCTCATTACATAAGATCCTTTAATTGACTTCACATTTCCAAGTGTGAAGCTGTTCTTGGAGTTAATTAATAAACAACGAACAGACCAGCCATTTATTTACTTTAAAAAGGCAAGGTGTTTATTTTTGTAGGGAATAAAAATAAACCATAATACAAGTGTAACTTCCCGGGACAAATACATTTAGAGAGAAAAACCCACAGTGCTTCTCTAAAGATGGGACAGTTACTTTTTCAAGCAGTGCATGAACTAAAGTGACACACAGGGAATGTTCTGGAACAGGGGGTTTCACCACCCACAGCTGACCCAGCTGTCCCTCAGCAGTGACACAGACAAACAGCACCACTAACACTGCCAGCCAGCACTACACACAGGTTTGGGAATGTGCCCACAGAGATCACTTTGGACGACAGGGAAGGTCCACCCGGGCTTGGGGTGGGATCCAGTGCTACGAGTTACTGCAGGAGTACCTGCTACAGTAAATACAGATGCATTTACAGAGACAAATGGTGGGGGAGGCACAGCACCCACTGCCCTCCTGTCCCCCTCCTGCGCTGCAGAGGGGCCAGTAAATTAATGTAATTATTAACTGGACGTCACATTAATGGAATAATTACAACACCTGCCCCAACAAATGACACCGACTGCTGCTGGCACCCACCTGGTTCCTCAGCTAATTAATCAAGTGCTGGGCAGTAATTAAAACTGGTACATTCAGAGCAGCTCCTCCCCCCGGGGAAGTGGCTGGATGTGCGTGAGGGCTGGGATGTAAACAAGGAAGAACTGGGTTGGTCCCCACACAAACAACCCCAGCACCCAGAGTGGTGGGACAGGCACTGCTGGAATGCTCCTGGTCCCTCATGGTATCCATCCCTGCCCTGTGCCAAGGAATGATCCTTTGGGAGGGGACCCTCAGGCACTGGGGCTGCCCAAGGACCAGGTTTGCCAGGAGGTGAAGGGCAGCAGTGCCTGGAACAGGAGCTCTTCCCTTTGGAATGCTTCTCCTGAGGGTGCTGCAGCTTTGGGAACTCCTGCCAGGGCTCTCTGGCTCCAAACCCGCTGGAACAGCAGTCACAGAACTCTTCAGCCTGGACAGTCCAACCTGTAATCCCAGCAGGCCTCACTCCAGGTGGAAATCCCCCAAAGCACACCTTCAGCTCCTGGCAAATCCTGCTCTCCAGGACTCCAGAAGCTTCCTGAAGACAACTGAAGGCAAGCAAAGCTTCCCAGCTGCCTCCAAGCAAGTGTCCTCCTCCATCCCAGGCATTTGTGCACCAGCCACACTGCAGGGGCAGTTTTCTTCCAAGGACTTTACTCAGGCAACCACTGAGCACAGGAACGGACCAGGCAGCCAGGAAGAAACTACACCCAAAGCCTTTAACACACTGCTTTTTCTCACCATAAAAAGGCCATGGAGAACTAAAACTATGGACAAACCCATTATTCCCTTTTTTTCCATCAGAGTAAGGAGCACCCACTGCATGTTCTCTGCCAACTGCAAAACAAGACAGAGTTTAAGGATCCACCAAAGTTCCCATTGAGACATTTCCACTGAGAAATGAAGTTCCACAGGTCCCTCTTCTACTCCAAAGCAGTGGTTTCACCACAAAATGTGTTAAAGGTTATCACTGCAAGGTTACAGTGGGGTGCAGCAGGAGGGTCTCAGGAAAGCCTTGGAGGGACCTGGTGGAGCAAGAGGAGCTCCAGAAAAGAACCAGTTTTACACAAACAGATCCCTCCTCCCTCCCAGTTCTCCCAGTCAGAGGAATCCAAATGGAAGGAAGTTGCATTGTCCACTTAAGGGCTCCAAATAAAAGCAGCATTTCTGACCTCAGGACGCAGGGAAGCCCCACTAGGAATAAATAAATCCCAGTAATTCTCACCCACACAGGCCTTGCTGAAGCAGATTCCTGTGTAACAGCTTTTCCACTCCTACAACACTTCCAGGGAACAGAGACTCAAGTCAGCAGGGCATTCCATGAGGAGGGAACACAGGCTTCCTGCAATGCTTCAGGAAGGAGATCCCCCCTGACCTTCATGTTTGGTCTTCAAGCACCCCAGCACTAAAAAGCTTCTTGCCAATGGCTTTTCAGACCAGTAACCTCATGGAGAGCCAGGAAAGCCTGGAATCCTTTCCAGCTCCCTAAATTACAGCACCAGCAGGAATGATTTTTTAATACACTGCAGGTTTGGCCAAGTCTGTACACATTAAATCCAAGAGGTTTAAAAAGACAGGACATGAATTTTTGCACTTCCCAGGATAAAGTCACCACTGTTCTGTCACTGAAGTCGAAAGCAGCAAGGTTACTACAAGTTACCAACACTTGCAGGCTCTGAAGTGACCTGCTGGTGGTTACACACACCTGGAGTAATGTTGTAGTCAAGGGGATTTGGTGGAGATCAGGAATAATTAATAATAATTAAACCTTCTCAAGGTAATCTGTGGCAATTCCAAAGACAAGACAACGTGTAAACATTTACAGAATCCTCCTGCAAGCTGGTTTTGCACAATAATTAATCAATGGCATGTCTGAAACCTTCAGGAGTCAGTTAAAACCCTCTACAATTCAGTATCTCAAATGAAAATCAGAGACATTAAAGGTATTAAAAGAACTGATGATCTCTAGAATACTTGGTCATAAAAAATGCCTGTCTGGGCCTCATTTCCCATTTGGGATTTCTCCAAGAAGCTGGTACATTCTTGTACACCTGGAAAGCAGAGACGGGGCTGATCCATAAGTCATCCCTGGGGCAGCGTTTCACGTGCTTGGTTTTCAATCCATCACACATTTCAGCTCCCACTCCTTCCTTGAAAACAACTCTATTATTTGCTTCATGACTGACAACCCCCCAATATTAAAAAACTTCCTCTTTGCCATTCCAGGCAGTGAAGAAGCTCTAATAAAATAGATCTTTTCTTACCCCGAGTGAGACACTCAGGGGAGTTTTGGGTTGGTTTTGTTCTACTTTGCCTTGAAGACCAAACCTCACCCAGTGGTTTCACCCTGGGTTATAAACACATGAGGGGGGCTGATATTGCATTTTATGATGCTATAATGGAATGGTTCTGCTTCTTACTGGAAGCTGGGAAGGCTCACTTCAAGACTTGCTTCATAAAAGAGAAAAGCTGGGTTTAAAATTTAACAGCAGCACCTAAACAACAGTTTCAAGAGCAAGCAGAAAAGCACCCTGAATTAACCGCCCAAGGGGACTCTGCAATTAAGCACATCTGGAGAAGCTTGTCCAGAACAGGGAATGTGGGACAGTTTTCCTGGGGGGGTGGAACATCCTCCACCTCTCCCAGGCCACGCTGTGACCTCAGAAATGCTCCTTAGGCCTTGACCTTGACAAACAGCCCCTGGGCTGAGCTCCTGAGCTCATCAAAAACAGGCTGTTCCCAGGAGCTCTGCTGGATAATGAGCCCCTGCTTTTTAACCCACAGCCTTGGAAACTTGAGTTTTCTTGCCTGAACAAGCAGAACAACATTTTTATTGATTTTTAAACATTATTTATCGATCTTGCAAAGTTACTAACCCAAATTGTGGCCAGGATGGAAAATGACAGTGACTAAAGCCAACTCAGGGGTCCTGAGTGAGACCCTTGGAGCTCTCCTGGAGCACAGGTGGCTGCACCAGCATCTCCCCTGGAGCAGGACACCTCTCAGAGCCAAAAAAACTCTCAAGTTTGCTCTACTTGGAGGAGCCAGGGCTGAAACCTCAACCCTTTGAGAACATGCAAAGGCATCCAACCCGAGTCCTTCACGGAATTCCAAGGGAATTTTTCCCAGGGATATGCCTGTACACACTCCTTTAGGGCTGTGGGATGCCACAGCCAATGGACTGGGAATGTTGCTCCCCTGAAGTACTTTGGAGCTGTAAGGAAGTGCAGCCTCCAAGTGAGTTGTGCTTTTAGTAAATCCTGCAGGAATCCTTTGGAAAGTTGTTTGCCTCCAGCTGTGGATTCAGTGCTGTTAAATTTAAGTGCTGCTTATGATCCTATGAAACCTTTAGGCCCAAACTGTTGATCCACCTCAGTTTGGCAGTGTGGTCCACTCTGAACCTTGTGCCTCCACAGGAGGCTCTCCCTTATTCCTTCTTATCCTGACCCTTTTCCATCCCCAGCCTTCAGGTGGATAACTTTTGGTTGGGTTTGGTTTTACAGTCATTGATTTTCAGTTTTAATTTGCTTCTTCTGTGTGTGCTTTACCCATCTATGAAGCAGCAGAGTGAACCTTGCCAATGAACTTGGTCACACTTCCACTGTTCCATGAAACCTGATTTTGCTGGGAATGCTTTGAGGGACCTTCAGACACTCATTTGTGACAGGGACACCCGTTCCTTGGGGAAAAAAAGTCCTTGTTTCTTTACAGGGCTTCTGTATGGATGCAATACACATCTCTGCTTTAAACCTGCATCTCCAGCTGACATTCCAGCACATGGAAGAATCCAAGTAGTGTTAACAAGCCCTGGAGCCACAGCCACATCCCAGGGTGTTCGTGTCCACTTCATGTTCCACTGAGGGGTCACAAAATCACTGTTCATCTCACCACATCCTGATGGCACAGACAAAACATCCCAACAGTCCATGTAACTTTAACAGCCAAGACAGCATTCCCTGTAATCACTCAGCAAGTGATAAAATCATTTTAGGCCCCATTTCAGCAGGAGAACACAGCTCATCTCTAACTGCTGCCTCATCAGTGGATGTGGGGAAAGCACACTGATCCCAGCTTAGAACAGTCACTGCCTTGCTTCAGCTTAACCAAGACCATAAAATAGGAGAGGAAAAACGGCACAGAAGTGTTTTCCTGTCTTTTCTCGTTTCTAATCCCCCCCCGGTCCAAAATCCACGTGTTCCAGGCTGACTCTGGCTTGCTGCAGTAAATGAGGTCCAGAACAACTTATTCTTGGAGAGGTCAGCTTAGAGAGAAGCTACTGAACTCAGGGGCATCAGCAAAGATCCTGGGGAGGCTGCAGCAGGTAAAAACCTCCTTAGAAATACTGACTACAAAGACCCAACACTACACTTTACACTACAATAATAAAAACAGCACATGGTGTGGCTGGACATGAGAACAACCTCAGAAAAAGGCAGAGGGGGTTTGGTTTTGTTTAACAAAAATGCATAGGAAACAAAAACTGAGTCAGTTCTGCTACAAGGTGAGGGTCCATGCAGAGAGTCATTCACAGCTAAGAAAGGATGGGTTTTGTTTTTTTTATCATTTTAAGATGAACTGGAATTTTTGATCACTTTAAGATGACCTTGTACCAGCACTGAGCACGGACAGACTGCATCCTCCCTCCTCTGCTTACAAAGACTGCCCAACTCCCAGCATTGACTGGCCAGGATTTCTTCCAGCTTCAAACACCAGTGCTGGCAGGCAGCCACAAACCTTAAAAACACACGTGTTTCCACCAAAAACCGAGTTTACACGAGCTCCAGGAGCCTCCTGGGCAGCTCTGCATCATTCCAGCTGCGCAGGGATGTGTGCCAAACCCAACCTGCTCCCCCAGCACACCCTGTACTCACACTCAGCTGTAAATGGGGGGGTCTGCACCCCGTGGGGTCACCCCACCAGAGCCTGTGTCACCCAACAGTTCAGAGCTCCTCACTGGTGCTGAGCATTCCCAGAGCTCCTCACTGGTGCTGAGCATTCCTGGCCGACACCTCCGTGGAGGCACCGAGATCCTGGTGGTGGTGGGACAGGTTCTCCTTGTGCTTCTGGTCCACAGCTGAGCCCACAGACCCTGGGGAGGTCCCATTGCTCAGCACAGGGGGTGCTGCCCCTCCATAGTCCTGAGGAGTGCTGGGAGCAGCATGTCCTGCTTTGGGGAAGGAGGAAGCTTCACCGGGCAAAGGACCGTCGAGGAAAGGAAGTTTCTACACGAATGAAAAGATGTTAAAAATAAAATTAATGAAAGCCACTACTCCCAGGTGTCAGAAATGTACAGAAAATCAGCTGTCAACACAACAGCCCTGTGCCAGTGCCTCTTTTCCAGCACTGAAACCCATGGGGACAGATCTTTATGTGTTTGATACAAAGACCAATGTTTAATTAAGAAAGAAGTTTCAGCATCCACATTAAACTGGCAAAGGACACTGATAGAATTCTCACTGATATATTTTTAGATGTGATTTTAGTTTGTTTGTGGGTGTTTCAGGTTTTTTTAATACAAACAGCAAATCCACTACAAGCAGAGCCTTCATTTAACCCCTCATTTTGCCCAGCTTGCCGAAACAACTCCCCAGCACCAATATTCAAACCCAGGTACGCTGGCCAAAGCCATCGTGGGACCTGAAATATGAAATAAACACAAACAGCCTCACGTTTTCCAGTTCAGATGCATCCTCCTCCAGCTGCACCTTCTGGCTCGTGCAGCTCAGCAGATGATCCAACACACACTGCTTTGGGTGCATCCCTTTGTCAAAGCGATTGTACATCCCACACCAGAACCTCAAGAACAGGGCAGGAGAAAGGGAATTAGGAGGTCACTCGTGCCCTACTGCCAGTATTCTGTTAAGAGAACAATTTGCTTCAAGAAATTTTCTTTGAGAATTCCTTAAAGAATTTCCAACAGCTCGTGGTAGGTAACTGATTGCAAGAAACCTCCACGGCCTTGGATTGTGAAATTCTGTCTCAACAGGCAAACTTGCAGAAAGTTAAAAAAAATGGCAGTAGGTCTTAGAATAGGATGAAAATACACTTTTTTTTTTCCTATAGCAGACTTACTGGAGGCTTGGGCAGCTCACCTTCAAATCCTCAGCGTGCCCAACTTCCCAGCTTTTATTAAAACTCTTTGCCCATTAGTAACCACACGAAGCACTTAAAAACATATTTGCATCCCCCCCTCCCTCAGCAGGGACCACAAACAAAGCCAAACTCACCACCTCTGCTGCCACACCCTGGGCAAGCAACCAGAACACCCTTCTTGGGACAAAGACCCTGACTGCATCAGCCTGGGTGTGACTGGGCACCACAATTCTGCTTGAAAGGCTTTCTTAATACTTATTAAAAAGGAGAAAAGGAGGAACTTTCTCAAACAACTGTCCACCCTGTGACTTAACTGCGAGAGAGCAAGCAGTCAGGGGTGTGTGGTTCTATCTACATCTGAAGTTCTGCTTTTCCTTAGCTTTCCTCACCCTCTTTCTCAACCCCAAAGAGAAGATTTTAAATTGCAGCACCTGCACTTATTTAACCATCACCTGTGCACTGCTAATCTCAGTTTAGGGGTGAGGAATGGAGGGGAAGGGTAAAGCAAACCAAGCTGTTCAGTACAAATTTATTGTATTAAACCTGACTTATCAATCTACATCGTAATGAAAGAAATCCCCCCTTCTTAAATGAGCAACTTACTGGAAGCTGAAAGGCAGTGTGTTTGGTTGAAGCTCTTTGTAAGCTGTAAACCCTCTGTACAAAGGATTTCTCAATTCCTGCTTCCTCTGTAAGAGGAAAGGCCACAGAGAATGGGTCTTCTCAAAAATTCTGTCAAGTATAAATAACATCTAATCACTAAAAAAAAGAGGCAAGTGGATTAAGAACTCTAACTGTTCAGAGCAGAATTAGATTAAGGGAGCTATGAATTATTTTTACACATTATCTGATTAATTACACAAACACAAGATACATCCCAGAGGAATATATAATCCACCAGCCAGTCCAGAAGGGGTATTTACAAGTTATTACTGTGGTCCAAATTAAAACATTTGTCTTCTGGGATATAAATTTTTGGCATCTCCCAAGACAATGCTACCCTTAACCAACCTAGAATTATATTAAAACACACAAACACACCCAACCTGCTCCTCCCCTGCCATTTCAAGTCAATTCTGGCTCTACAAACTGCCTACTCACCTGAGATCCTCCCGCTCCTTGTGGCAGGTCCCGAGGAAGTTGCCAAACTGGCAGGAGTAAACGTGGTCATGGATTTCCAGAAGGAACCTCTCGTTGAACTCGAAGGAGCAGGGGAACTGCTGCATGAGCTGCCAGACACACTCCACAAACTGAGTGAACACGGGGGACACCTCCTTGGGGTCCCCATCCAAGTGGCCACACCTGCAGGGATGTAAACAGGGGTAAATCCTGTGGCACCCAACACAGAAAGAGCCCCCTAAACATTAAAATGGGAAGTCTTTTTCCAGTTTTTCAAGTTTATGCTTTGAACTCAGTCAAAGTCCTGACCAACAGCAGCTGAGATCTTCCCCCAGGAGGGAACTGTGAAGAATGAATCAGAACACTGCTGGTGGCACAGGCTGCCCGGGGCAGTGGTGCAGTCACCACCCCTGCAGTGGATGTGGCACTTGAGGACATGCCTTGATGGTTGGACTTCAGGATCTTGGAGGTCTTTTCCAACCTTAATGATTCTGTGATTTTATAATTAGCACTCCTCAAATAACACAATTTTACAGGTAGGAAAACACTCAGAATTCAGACAGTGAACTCAAACCTATGATTCTGTGAAGTAATCAAAACCCACTGATGAAATAACAGCCCTAGAAGATACTGCCTTTATGTCACCAACTCCAGTCTTTTGCAAATCTTCTCTCCCCTGACTTGTGCTTTCCTTTGAATTTTTTTCTGGGAGCACATTAACCTCAAGACACTGGATTGGTTTCCCAGTCAAGCCCCACCCAAATAACCTGCTCCTCTCACCTGTGGGAGAACTTGTGGCCCATTGCAATCCACTCCTTTTCTATCAGAACCTGCAGTTTCAAAAGAGGGATTAAACAAAAACTTCGGTTAAAAAAGCAAAAGGAAGCCTTGATGCTAAAGCCTAAAGAGCTGACGACTTTACATATAATAAGTATATAATAAGTATATAAGTATCATGTATATATAGTTACAAGCATATCCACAGAAATCAATGGGAACAGGAATTGTGATTTACAGATTATCCAGTTACCAGTGCAATGGCATTGCTGGAATGAGAACTTGAAGCAAATCTAGTACTATTTTGAGGGAGTTTCTATGTTGTTAAAGTCATAAGCACACTGAGCTAAAAGAATCAACAGCTTAATAATGCCCTATGTGCTATTTAACTCACCAAAACAAATCAGCAACTAGAATTCAATGAACTTTTAACACACAAATAGGAATATAAGAAATACAGCTGTGTATTGAGGAGCTCAGGATGAAATCAGAACCACCAATTTCTCTTTTAAATAGAATCCCTGTGCCAGCCATAGGAAAATAATAAGCAGTGTTTCCCTGAAAGATGTCTCAGGAGCCACATGACTGATGCTGCATCCATTATGCCTTGCTGGATCATATCTAAAGACCAATATCTGATCTCATCATGCAGAGGCTTAAAGAACAGAAGGTAGGAAAAACTCACAACAGAGTTTTTCAAAGGCTTCATTTCTATTGCTTATCAAGTTTTTCCACTCCTAACACTCCTGGTTAATTCATTTAGGAATAACCACTGTCAGGGGACTTGTGCCTATAAACCCTTGTCTCAGGGGACGGCCAAGGATGTGTCTGTGTTACTTACTGCTCCTGTTCCTAAGAAATTCATGAGACCTACATGACAAGCTCCCACAGCACTTTTTGGTGGATTGCAGCCAGAGCTGCATCCTTTCCTCACCCATTTCTTGCTGAAATCTCTAATTAGTGGCTCTCCTGTGGACATTCAAGGAAACAAAGATTTGGGAATTGTAAATCAACCCCTGCCTTTTGTGCCCACGCTGTTCAGAGCAATTAAAGCTCGTTACAGAATCAAAGCTGGTTTATATAGGTCACCTCCTGCTTGTGCCAGGAAATGGCCTAAAACCACTTAATTAGGGCCTGCTTACATTTCCAATGCAGGAAGCAGTTTTTAGTTTCGAATTTTTAAAATTCCACCATTGCTGTCCTTACCATGAAGCCCTTGAAGGTCCTGTAGAAGGGGTCCAAGAGGAGCCCAGCCAGGGAGCAGACCTGGGCCGTGCGATCCCAGCCGTCGGAGCAGTGCACCAGCACACTGGCCTTCTCCTCCCTCACAGCCTGAGGAGACACCACACACAGCACTTCAGCACCTTTCCAGCTTCATTTCTGAAATAAATGCTACCCCTTCATCTGTATTTACCTAAAAGTCCAGAGGAATATTTGTCTCTTCTCATCTGGACCATAAAAATGCACTGATGTCTGTGGGTCATTCCATCAACCCACAGAAACCCCAACTAGAAGGAAATGCTGCAGCGTGTCTTGGCAGCAACAGACTGGCAAGAACGAGACCTTGTGATCTCAAACACTCGGTCTCCTGAAAATCCAAGAATTCCCAGTCTCCTCCTCTGAGGAAAGATTTGGTGTATGGGTAAAGAATCGGACACACGGAGATGAGGAACTTCAAGAGAGATTAGAAGAGCTGATCCCAACCTCCTCCCATATGGATCATCTTCTTCCCCTTGTAACAGTGGCAGGAAAACAAAATACCATTTTCATGCTTGCTACGTGGGAAAATTGTAAGAGTCAATTACTCTCACAACTCTTGCAACGTTATTTCCTGCACACCCTTTACTCCTCCAGAAGAGCCCTGGTGACTTCTCTCCTGTTCCTAACCTGCAAAGCCACGAGCTCTGCAGAAATGAGGATGGTGTTCAACAATCAAAATCAGTGTCCACATCACACAAACCCAGCAAATAAACCTGTCAAAAGAATCCTGCCATTAAAGCAGGGCAGGTGACTGCATAACGAGCCCAGGGTTATGAGCTGTTTGCTCTGCTGTACAGAGCTGCTTCTATTTCATTTTACTCGCATTCTGTGGGTTTAGGTGTTTCAAATGAGTTCTAATAAAGCCTCAGGAATTGCCTGCTGCAAAACAGCACACAGGACAACATCCCAACACTCTGTCACAGCAGTGTCTAGGAGAGAGCCCAGCTGGCTGACCCACTTGTGTCCTCCAAGTTGCTTTGGAGAGCTGAGGCCAACCTGGATAGCAGTGTTTTCCCAGCTTCTCTCCAGAGATACCTTCCCAAACAGACAACTCCATGTTTTTTAATCCACCTGCAGGCTGGAGAGCAGCTTCACCTTGGCAAGGAAGACACCTGCATCCATGATAGCCTTGATGTGCCGCAGCCAACCGGAGTTCTCCAGCCCAGTGAGGAAGTCACTCATGGAGGGGGATTTCATTTCACACACTGAGAACAAACACAAAGGAATGAGCTGACACCCTGGGAACAGCATCTCCTGCACCTCCTCGTTAGCTCTCCACAGCCTGGTATCCTAACAGCCATATTTTTAAAGTGTCAGCAGCAACATCCTGTCTAAAGGACACAGAAAGTACTGGCTGAATACTTAACATTCTTAACTAAAAACTCCTGGTTTGTGTAAGAACTTGAGGCTCGGAAAATATCCTCTTTTTTTCAATGGTAAGTCATTATTTTCTCAGCTGAGTTTTTTCCAACAAAGTGAGAGTTTAGTGATCTGTTACTTCACTATAAATCACCACCACGCATCTACAACCTTTCCCTCAGCATCACAGAGATTTAAAGACAGGAGACTTCTAATTTACAGAGAGAGAAATAACATGTCTAACCTTGAAGGCAACTTAGATGCTGTAATGAAACCCAGCACAGAAAATACGGACAGTAATAAAGTTCACTAACAGTCCATAAGCACCAGAGAGTGAGGTTTTATCACTGCTGAAGAAGAATATGGGAGCAAACAAGTATTTATTCTGCCTCCTCTTCCACCACAAAATAAATCTGCCAGGAACAGGGAACTGAGGACTCCTACTTGTGATCATCCCCCTCTTGATCCCCAATGGCTCAGGGAAGCATTTCTTCTGCCCCACTTTGCTTTTTCCCCTAAGATAACAAGGAGCTTAATTACCTTAGGTACTCTGCATTCTAATATATTTATGTATTAAAAAAATAGTTTAATACATTATTAAAAGCAAGTTTAGTCAAAAGAAATCAGAAATAAATGACAGGTAAGAATGAGATTCAAGTCTTTGGAAGATCATGCCAAAACTGTATTTCAAATCAGATTCAATTCAGATAACGCTGAAATACTCCAAACTCAACCCATCAAACCCCAAAAAGTATTTCCTAAACAACCTCTTGGTTTTCTTTCAACAGCTCATGAAGCAACTGTGAGACTTAGTAGTAAAATGTAGCATTTCTAATGTAATATTTCTTAGCCTTTTCCTTTTAATTTGGCACGTTAATGAAGGAATGCTGTTAGTGTTAGTTGCTGGTTTTGAACCACTGCAAAACCAAGCACCAGAACAAATCAAATGCCAAGCAGGAAAGCATTTTAACTGCACTGATACTTCCAGCCACTTCCACAGAGCAAACAAAGCAAGACACCCTCTGCTCCCAGCACAATGCTCTGCATGTAGGATCTGGACAGCTTTTTGTCCAGAAGTAGCCAGGGGTGACAAAGGCCACTCCCTGGGCTGTTCCCACCTTCCAGGAGTTTCTGCAGGCTGCTCCTCATCACGTGGATGTTCTCTATGCCGATGAATTTGAAGCGGATGTTGTCGTAGTTGTCCTCGTTCTCGTAGCCCTTCCCCGCCGCTCGGTTGGCCATGGCGTTCAACTGCCAAACCCGGGGAGTGGGACAGACAGGAAGGCAAAATTACAACAATCCACGGAAAGAGACGAGCCTGCTTTGCAAGACTTTCCTCCTTTTTAAAATCTCCCAGAAAACAGACCGGACAAAGCTGTTTCTCAGCTGTACTTCCCCACCTCCCAGACATTAATTCCCTAAAATTACACCACTGTCTCCAGTCCATCTCTCATATGCAGAGGCTCATTAAGACCCTGACTAGAATGTGCCCAATTTCTGCTCTCATCAAAGCAGGCAGGGAGACACTGAGCCTGCCCTAACTGTGCAGCTACCTAAGGAAATTCATAGAGAAGCAAAGGAAAGCAAAACTAGGAAAGCCATTTTTCCCAGTGACATACATACATGGTGGGATAGAAATAGTAAGAGAATTCCAAAGCTTTTCACAGACATACATGCACAGATGAAATAAAGCCACCTGAGGGAAACATAGAAATATTCAAGTTGAGCAGAAAGAATACAGCAACCAACTGGAACTGCAGAAAAGAAGTAGAAAAGAAGCCAGTTGCCCTAAAAATTACCCCCAAGAGTTCCAGAGCTACAGGAAATCTTGAGTGGTGACAGAAAACAGAGCAGCTCCACCTCCCCCCAGGTTAATTTGGGCAGAGGAGGGATTTGCCTCCACAGAGAGAAGGGAAGGAAAAGTCAGGTGTGGTACAGCCATGTTTAAATCTATCAAATAACTCCAGTGCTTCAGTTCTACCATCCAAAGTAAGGTATTCACCAATTATGAATGCTCCCCTTTTCACCAAATATTTTAGCACAAAATTGCCATCAGAGGTGGATTTCAGGGGAACATCTTTGACACTGGAAGCTGCCTGTACCAAAAGAACATGCACTGATTGCTATAAACATGTCTATCATTGCAGAATAGGTGATCTTTAGGAAATGTCACAGCACAAAAAGGCAAAATAGCACCGGAACAACAGGTGAAACATTCCCCATTTTCCCCAAAAGACTCTTCCCTTCTTGCCCTTGCCATGGATTTAACTAAATGTGCAGCTTCTATATATATATTTATATAAAACTAAATATATATAACTAAATATGCACCTGCAATATCTGAACAGCAAAGCAGGTTCTCAGAAAGCTCGATTTTAAAACAGTCAGAGCACTCTGAAACCTTTGCATTGAAATACTTGTGTGCTGTGAAATTCCCTGTGTTCTGATATGCTTACACCAACACTCCTAACCCATATGCTTGCAAGAGAATCCTTAGTTTGGTTCCTAAATTCAGTTCCTCGAGGTGACAGTCATTTGAGATTGAATTTTGCAAGTCCTTTATCAATATCCTCTTAAATAAACCCCTCAGCTCTGAAGTTCTGGCCCCAAACAGTGGCTATGGACCAGAAGAGCTGAACTGTATTAAACCTCAAGCTGCACATCCCTTGTGTTATTTTTAAAAGGCAAAAAAAAAGGAGGAATTGCTTTTCTCAGTTGTTATCAGACCCCACACAGCCTCGATTCCTGCCAGGTCTGTCAACAAATATGTAAAAAATAATTTATATTTTATCTATTTATATATATTTTATATATATCTAAACATATACATTATATATCATAAACATAATAATATATAGTGTATATAAATATATTTCTTCAATATCATTACTTTCGAAATAAAATATATTTATATAAATAAACTATTTTATAGAAACATATTTATGTGTATATAAATAATAATTATATTTGGAGTCTTTTTTAATTTTTATATATTCAAATAAATAAACAAATAGATAAATGAATTAATAAATAGATAGATAAATAAATAAGACTCCAGCCCCATGGAACTGAAATCTGAGGCTTCCTCCCAACTCAACACATGGAGGACTCTGCAGGGAAATGCCACAATCTTCAACCCAAGACACTCCAGGAGTGCCAGCTCCCAACAGCACTCAACTCTCCAGCCATACACCCTGACCTAGGGACCCTGCATCCCTGATCCCACACAGCCTGGCAGTTATTATCCTGGAATATTCTGAACTGGAAGAGAAGCACAAGGATCATCAGGGAGGGAGTGACTCCTACAGGGTTGACCCCACAAGGCTGGCGTTATCAGCACCTGAGCTAAGTCAGCTGGGCCAGAGCCACTGGGACCAGCTTTACCAATTCCCCCCCGAGGTTTCAGCAGCCCAGAACCCCAGGAAGGTACCTTTGGCCTTGTGTCTACAACATACATGAAGGGGCTCCCGGGGTTGGCCTCTCGGATGGCCTGGAGCATCTGCTCGTCCTCCAGGCAGCGCGCGCTGAACCCGGCCAGGGGCTGACTGCAGCGGCACAGGGCAGCCTGCAACACAGGGCAGGGCTCAGTCCATCCACTGCACCCACACAGCACCCTCACAGCACCCACAGAAACACAGGGCAGCCTGCAACACAGGGCAGGGCTCAGTCCATCCACTGCACCCACACAGCACCCTCACAGCACCCTCACTGCACCCACAGACACACAGGGCAGCCTGCAACACAGGGCAGGGCTCAGTCCATCCACTGCACCCACACTGCACCCTCACAGCACCCACACAGCACCCTCACAGCACCCACACTGCACCCACACTGCACCCACACAGCACCCACAAAGCACCCACACAGCACCCTCACAGCACCCACACAGCACCCACACAGCACCCACACAGCACCCACACAGCACCCACACAGCACCCACACTGCACCCACAGACACACAGGGCAGCCTGCAACACAGGGCAGGCTCAGTCCATCCACTGCACCCACACTGCACCCACAGACACAGGGCAGGGCTCAGCACCCCCACAGCACCCCACACACACACAGGGCAGGTTCAGCACACTGCACACACACAGGGGGAGCTCTGAGCCCACACACACACACACAGGGTGAGCACTGACCCCACAGCACCCCACACACACACAGGGCAGGTTCAGCACACTGCACACACACAGGGGGAGCTCTGAGCCCACAGCACCCCCGTATACACAAAGGGTCAGCCCTGACCCCACAGCCCCTCCCACCCACCCCAAACACCCATTGAATGGCGTTAATTGTGTTCCCTTTCACTGGAAAACTGCTGCTTAACTGGACCCACACAAACCCTACTGGGCCATTTCTCAGAGCAAGAAGTTTGGGAAACTTCATTAGGTAGTGAGGCCAAGAAACCTCACACTGTGCTCTGCCTGATGATCAGGATCCCAAATGTTAGCAGTCCATAGAACCCCAGAATCCCAGAAGGGTTTGCTTGGAAGGGACCTCGAAGACCATCTTATTCCATCCCCTAAGCAATATGTTCCACCTTCCACTAGCCCAGGTTGCTCCAAGCCCCCTCCCACCTGGCCTTGGACACTTCCAGGGATCCAGGGGCAGCCACAGTTGCTCTGGGCAACCTGTGCCAGGGCCTCCCCATCCTCACAGGGAACAATCCCTTCCCAGTATCCCATCTAGCCCTGCTCTCTGGCAGTGGGAAGCCATTCCCCTTTGTCCTGTCACTGTGTGCCCCTATAAAAAATCCCTCTCCCTCCTTTTCATAAGGCACTGGAAGGCCACAATTTCTCATGCTTTCTACTTGGTTTCTATTTCCAAACCATTCTTTTCCACAGTTGTCCCTCTCAGCTGTTCCTGTTCCATGCTCAGAAGTGCACTGAGTATGCTGGATGTTGCCAGCACAACTCCATGCAGTGCCCAGGTCAAGACACACTTCCTCAGGGAAACAACAATTTGGCTGTGATAGCATTTTCCTCACATCAGCATCTAAAACACTGCTGAGGCAGCAAAGTTAAAAATTTACATTCTGGTCTTCAGTGGAAAAAACAAAAAAATGAAACCTTCACTTATTGTGACCTAGTGGGGATTTATTTCAGGGTGGTTCCTCCTCTTCAATACTATTAAAATATAGCTGAGTTAACATGGAACTTGGTAAAACATTATTGGATATAGCTAAACAGGAGATTTAAAAGCCCCACATCAGCAGGAATTGCTGAAAGTTGATTTAAAAAAAAAAAGGCAGGTTGGAAAGTTTGGGCTTTTTGCAGAGCTCTGGATGCACCTCAAATGTTTGGCTTCTTCTATGACTCAGAACCAACTAAAATTAACACCATTAAGAGAAGCACAGTTCTCAGATGTCTCAAGTCTAATAATTATTTCATTATTTCCTGTCACTAGAAGGGAACTGGGCAAAAAGGGGAACCTTCCCTCCCACCCCAAGCCAGCACTAACATTGTTTTCCTTATACAAGTAAGAAAGCACCGGAATCCGCCCTCGGCTTCTGAACTTCGAACTTCCCATCACCACTGCCTTGGAGGCAGCTCGAGGCACCACGATTTCTGGAGGGTATGTGCTGCAAACCTGAGTGAGGAGAAAGAAAAAACCCAGATATTGGTACTGAGCAACTGAAAACCCATGAAAAATTCATGTCGAGCTTGTGACGTTAAGATTTATTTAGAAAAATAATACAGGAATAGGTTCAAAATGAAACAGTGCGGTGAAGGAGAGGATCCATGTTGAAAGTGAACCTAGAAATTATTTAAATTCATAAATTTTACGGAAGTTTCTGATTTAGTATCACAGAATGGTTGGCGTTGGAAAGGACCTGAAGGATCATCTTGTCCCAACCCCCTGTTCTGGGCAGGGACACCTTCCACTGGCCCAGGTTGCTCCAAGCCCCATCCAACCTGGCCTTGGACACTTCCAGGGATCCAGGGGCAGCCACAGCTTCTCTGGGCAACCTGTGCCAGGGCCTGCCCACCCTCACAGGGAAAGATTCCTTTTCACAAAAAGAGAAAGTAAGAACAACTATATTTAAAAAGTTCCCCCTAAATCTTATTCTGGAAAGGAGCTCCCAGCAATCAGGAAGCATCCTCAGAGAACAGCTTTATCCTTTCACCTCAACCCAGAACGGTCTCTCAGCATGGACTTCACAGATAAGCTCCTCCCCAAGCCTGGCTTTACATTAGGCTTGACAATTGTAACACACAGGCTGGAAACCCTGAGGAAATTCTAAAGCACTGGCACTTGAGAGTTACACTTCAGCAAGTGCAGCCTCAGAGTGATTAACGATTTGAGCTGCTCACATTCAGGTGCCCTAATCAGCTACTGGAAACAGCATCTCTCCCATCACATCTCAATTCAGTCATCCAAACACCCAGCCAGGTAAAATGAGCTGTCACTTCTGACAGCACAGGCTTGTATTTCTTCCACCCTAAGTGTAACAGCAAAGAAAGCTGCCCAGGGATGAGAGTGGGGAGCAGGGGAAGGGATTCAGGACTGAGTATGTTGGATTCTTCCTCAAAGCTGCTTGCTTTGGCTTTTTGACAGCCAGGTCTGACTGTTCCACAACATCAGAAGAAATAAAAATTGAAATAATGTGGAACAGGATTTTGAACAAGCTTGCTGACAAATGCTGTTGTTTAATGTTGTTTAGATCCAAGCTGGCCTTTCAAGGAAAATAACAGCAGCAGCCAGTTTGGACTGAAATGACAGAGAGCCCTGATAGAGCAGAAGATCCAACCAAGCAAGCAAAAGAAGGCCTGTTTTCTCTTGCTGTTTTTCTCTTCCTTCCTTCCCTAGTCCCTCTCCACCCTGCCTCACCCCCCCCCAGTGCAAACCGCTGCCATTTATGTCTCTCCTACACATCTGCCCCCAGTCAGGTGGGACAGGCTTTGGAAATACCAAAAGCAGCTAAGGGAGCTTCAGGCTTTTCCTAACAGATGGTTTGACATTTCTCTAGCAGAACAATTCTCTGGTCCCTTGCCAGGGGGATCAAAGCAAACCAAGGTGACTCTGCAGCTCTTCTGTAGCATCATTATCTGCAACTTCCCATCAAGATGATGCTGCTGAAAACCAAGAGAGCTCATTCCTCCCCAGAGGCAGCAGCAGGGCTGCTCCCTGTCATTAATAACAACATGGAGATACTGCATTAAATGGCTTCTTGGGGCAGGAATTACCTCATAGTCCTTGTTAATATCCGTTATTTCCCAGTAGTCGTTTGGAATTCCCATGCGCTGGTAATCCAGTTTTAAATCAATTAGTTTCCACCCAATTTCCCGGTTCTCTTTAGACATTTTAGGATTGTAAGAGAAAGCATAAAGTTCTTCAGGTTTCACTGGGAAGAAGAAAGAAAAAAATTAACTAGTTACAGATGCAAAGACATAGAGAGAGGCCAACACTTCTGGAAATCAATCATTCAGCGCTGCAGAGAAAAACATTTGCGATATCTATAACTTCTCAACCCCATATTTATAGGATTTTGGTCAGGGTAGTGCCAAGTGCTGACAACTCGTCCTGAAATCCTCAGGGATTTCCAATACTCAGCTCCCACATGCAAGGAAATAGGCTTAAAACGTTTTGCTAGAATTAATTGTAAGTCTACAGCAGTAATTTTTCCCGAACCAATGATTTCCTCCTGAATTCACTGCAACAGGCATGTTAGATGGGATTTATGTCACAAGCATTAACCCATAAATGACAACACATATTAGAAGACCTATTTTCTGTGCAGAGTTCATACAACAGCTCTTGCACACCTGGAAGTTCATCATTCAACAGCAAGTTCTAACCCTGAGAGATGTCTGGAGTGTTACTTTCAGCCCAACAAAGGCTGACTCTGACAAATGGTCATTTACCATCCCAGTCTCCTCCCCCCTCTCCATAAAATGCAAATCCAGCCAATAACTCCTTCAGCTAACTCCCAAGCAGCAAGTGCTCTAGAGGCAGAGGAAAACCTGCCAGGGGCTGATAAAGCAGGTAACCCCCAGCTGTCCATCCCTGCGCCAAAAAAACATGAGGGGAACACACACACAGACATTTTAAACCAAAAACAGAGCACTCTTAAAATCCTTAAGCAGAAGAAAAGAAAGAGCCACAGCATTTACACAAATAACTACAAGAAACTGGTGTGATCCCCTGCAGTGACACCTCCCAAGCTTCAAGGCACTACCTAAGTCTCTAATTTTGAGACAGGGACAGCTTTTAAATGTAATGCAGAAACCCTTCAGATACAGCACTAGAGTCGAACTCCAGAACTAAGAAAACTCCAGGGAGCACAAGGGGGATGCTGGGAATAGACACAAGCCTTAATATCAATTAAAAAAAATTAAAACCCAGCAAACCCCACTTCTCCTACAGGATTCTGAGCCCAATCTTGTGTGAAGGGCAGCAAGAAGTTGCCTGGTGTCATCAATTCCCCTCCCTCGGATCAGTGACCCAATTTACAAATTGCAATTACAAATGACATCCTTTGTAATAATAACACAACTCAGGTTCACTGAAGTAGCACCCCAAAACCAGAGGCAGAAGGCAGGCAGGGACTCAGTGGAATGCTGTGCTGCAAGAAGAACAAGAAGCCTGAAGATTCATCCATGGTGGAACAAAAAGCTGGAGCCAGAAGAGACCACAGGCTTTTGAGGATGTTTTGCTCACCCTCCTTCGGAGTGACTCCAAGTCAGGGCAGCCTGGGTGAAACACAGGGTGTCACAGCTGAGCAAACAGTGCAGAGCAGCTTAAACATGCTGCTGGAAACAAATCAAAGATGCCAACGTTTAAGGCTTTATTTGTGGAATTCCTGAATTCTGGGTCAGTTGGAGAGGGCAGAAATGCACACAGAAAGCAGTCAGGTCACAGGAATGACTGACAGTGGCCAGGGATGGGATGTGACACTCAGTGTGGGTGACAGAAGAAAGCCTGGGACAGACTCAGTCAGGCAAATGAACCTTTCATGGGCCTCCAGAAGTTACTTGTGGAACACCAGTTCATTCCCACTGCCACAGGACCATGGAAGGGCCTGGACTGGAAGGGACCTTAAAGATCACCCCCTTCCCACCCCTGCTGTGGGCAGGGACACCTCCCACTAGCCCAGGTTGCTCCAAGCCCCGTCCAACCTGGCTTTGGACACTTCCAGTGCTGGGGCAGCCACAGTTTCTCTGGGCAACCTGTGCCAGGGTCTCCCCACCCTCACAGGGAAGGATTGATTCCCAACATCCCATCTAACCCTGCTCTCTTTCATTCTCCCTTGTCCTGTCACTCCAGACCCTTGTGAATAGTCTCTCTCCATATTTCTTGTATGCTTCCAAGACTGTGTTTAAGTGGGAAGCAAATATCCTGCTCTCTCCTTCCCGAGCCCACCCTTTGTCTCTGGTGGGAGAAGCTGGTTCTGATTCCACATCCTGCACTGAGAGCCCAAATCAAACCTGGGGCAGACACAGAATTCCCAGGGCTCAGCCCAGCCTTCCAGCTTAGAGAGCTCCAAGAATTCCCAGAAGAGACTCCCACTGTCAGTACCTGGCTGGGAGAGCTTGAGCAGGGAGGTGAACACGTCGTGGCAGTCCCGCTCCTGCCCCAGCACAAAGTGAGCCACGTGGAAGTTCTTGCAGTGGATGAGCAGGGGGTACCCAGCTGTGGTCAGGGGCAGCTTCTCCACACTGGCAATGTGGTGATGAAGGATCTGAAAAACACGGAATAAACAACATTTTTCAGATAAGGCTTTGAGCAGCACAAGCAGAAATGAAGTTTCTGTAACACAATCAGCTATTTATGGTTCCTGCAGCTAACTAGCAGTTGAAAATGAGATTATATGTGATTATTTATCAAACATAAACACCCAGACTGCACCCAAAGGCCAGGTAACTAAAGCAGGACTGAAAAAACACAGATGTACATAAATTACTTACAGAGATTGATGTGCAGCTTGGTTTACCTGGTGCATTTTGCTTTCCTTCCACCCTCATATACAATATATTCTGTCATCCTCACTTTGCTTTAGAATCAATAAAATAGGCTAATTCTGCACTTCCAAAAGCTGTAAATTCAAGTTTGGCGGCTTGGTATATTGAGTTTGAGAGAGGAAACTACACAAGTTTTTTACATTCTTTGAACAGACACTAATTCTGTGAGTGAACTCTATCAAGTCATGTCACCACTGTGCTCATTTCCTTCCAAACCAGCTGTTTCTGTTGAGCATTTGGTATTAAAAGGCTATAAAAGGCCATTACAGCTTTGGAACTTCCAAACTTTTTTATATTGGATATGAGAGCATGTAGTGACAGGACAAGGGGGAATGGCTTCCCAGTGCCAGAGGGCAGGATTAGATGGGATATTGGGAAGGAATTGTTCCCTGTGAGGATGGGCAGGCCCTGGCACAGGTTACTCAGAGAAGCTGTGGCTGCCCCATCCCTGGAAGTGTCCAAGGCCAGGTTGGACGCGGCTTGGAGCAACCTGGGCTGGTGGAAGGTGTCCCTGCCCAGGACAGGGGGTGGCACTGGATGATCCTTCAACTCCCTCCCAAACCAAATCAGCCTGTGACATAAAATAACTTTTATACATACGTGTGTTTACACAGCCCCAGGCACCACAACATACCCATGTTTCCTTCCTGACTTCAGCAGAAGCCTCCACGTAGATCAGGTGGGTGGCTGTCAGGTACAACGTCCCGGTCGCCGCCTTCCTGTTGGCGTAGCGATCCAACAGCTTCACGTTCTCCACCTGCAACACAGAGAGAGGCTGAAAAAACCACAGAATCCCAGAATCACGGGGCTGCAAAAGACCTCCAAGACCATCAGGTCCAAGCTGTGCCCCATCCCCACGTTGTCCCCCAGCCCAGAGCACTGAGTGCCACGTCCAGTCCTTCCTTGGACACCTCCAGGGATGAGGACTCCAAACCTCCCTGGGCAGTTCCAATGTCTGACAGCCCTTTCCGTGGAAAAATTCCTCCTGATGTCCAACTTTGATGGAGGGATTATCTAAACACCTGTTGAGCCCCAGTCATTCAACTTCTAATATGCAACTCATGAAGTAAGACAGGAAAATACACAAAATCTAAGTCTGCCCCGCAACACCAGCTCAGCTTTATGCAATTATTTCTCCATGAATTAAAGCCAAAAAGATTAAGCAAACAGCCAAGGTTCAGCACCGGTGTGAGTAACAGGATGACTGGATGTGTAGCCAAGATGATTCCTGTTTGTTACTGGGCAAGGCTGTCAAATAACAAGACAAAGAACTGCAAAGAAAAGACTTGTCTGTGTTCAGAGTAATCAAAGTGTTGCTCTGAAAGGAACAGCCCTCTCCAGTCTGACTTCCAAGTGCCTGTTAAAAAACCATTAGGAGCTACTTCTTGTATCTCACTTCCTGGCCTGTAAGTGCATTTCATAAACCACATCGAGCTAATTAATAAAAAGCAGCTTAAAAAAAGCATCAGCACAGATATAATAAAATATTTGACAGTATTTCATCGATCTTCTCCTGGCCTATTTGCCTCTTCACGAAGGTAGATGGAAATTTTCTTTCACCATTAAGCACAAATAATGGGGAAAAATAATTGGATAGATAACAAAACCACGCTTTTTAACAGTGTATGATAGATTAGTTTGGGGTATTGAATGTGTCAGTTTTCTTACATTGTCTGAGATAAGCCACGGAAAATGTCAGCAGAGAAACTTGCAGAGCAGAGGCAGAGGTTGAAAGACTTCCCAGCATGTCATATTTTTCATCAAATATAACTATTATATGTAATATTTCCCTTTTTCAGGGCACTAGATACAAGCAGGACGAGCAAAGCACCGCAGGGAACAGGGGAAGGAGCATCCCCAAACCACTATTGTAGAGAATAAACCAAAATACAACACTATAACAACTTCCATGGCAGCAAAAGGTAAAATTAAATTATTAACAGCAGCCTGAAGTAAATGCAATTTATTTTTAGCCGCCCGAACACAGCACTCCCGGGAGTTCCTGTTCCACTGAATTTGACGGGGGGAAAAAAGCACATTTGATTCCCTCTTTGGGACTGAGGGGGGTGGATATTAAGGAAATTTTCGGGGATCGCCGCCAAACGCCTTGTGTCACCCCTGCAGACGCGTCCCCTGCACGGCGGCGGAGCCACGACCGCATCCACAGCGCGGCTTCAAACCCGCCGCGCTGTGCCCCGAGGGCGCGCAGGGGGTGCTGCCCCGAGGGGGAGCAGCGAAACAAAGCCCGCCGCTAAGGGGAATAGAGCCCGGTGAGGGTTACCTTCGGCGTGCTGATGTGCTCCATGGCCGCCGGGCCCCGCCGCCCTCAGGGGCCGCCCCGCCGCCATGAGGGACCGCCCGCCCCGCCCCGCCCCGCGCTCGCGAGAGCCGCGCGGCGCCGCCGCCATGTTGGGGGAGGGCAGCGCTGAGGGCAGCGCTGAGGGCACGGCCCGAGGTTCCGCTCCTGGGGTCCCCTCCCGGAGCCCGCGGGATGCTCCTCCCAGGGAATATTTGAGGGAAAAGCCTCCTTTCCCTCTCAAGATGTACGGCCTGCAGTGTTGCCCTCAGTGGGCTAATAGTCCTCCCCACTCGTGTAAGGGATCAGAGGCGCGTTTCACATTAATGCTTGGCGCACTCAGCAGAGCTAATAATACCTGTTTATCAGGTTTTCCCTATATTTTAATTTCAGAGCGCGGCGCTGCCTCTCGCGGATACCCAGCCTGGATCCTGAAGAACTGCTATAATTCCTGTTCCCGTGCCTGCAATGTGTTCCTTCCAACCCAAGTCCCCAATTTCCTGAGAAATTCCCTTCAGGAGGGTGATCTTGTGTGGAGTCTGAGAATTACCAGGTCTTGATTATTACATGATCAGAATCACAGACTGGTTTGGGTTGGAGAGGGACCTTAAAGCACATATAGTCCCAACCCCTGCCACGGGCAGGGACACCTTCCATGGGTGTTTTTCCAATGGGAGATGTTGGTGTGATGAGCCAGTCAAATGTTTTTATGGATCCCAGTGAAATAGTTAATAAAGGCAAAGATAAATAATTTGCTAATCAAATTATCTTTACAATGTTAGTGTTAGTGGTTAGTTTGAATTACAAATGTCAAACCACAATGTTATGTTACTATGGAAAGCTATATCTTACTATGTTAAACAAGTTCTGACTGTAAGCTTTAAATGAGCCTATAAAGATATGGATAAAGGGGCATAGCTGAGCAGTACAACCCCCGGCACAGGCTGTTGCAGCCGAGCCAGGAGCGGCGGAGCAGCCGTGGCAGCAAGCTGCCCGAGGGAGGAGCCGGCCCGAGGGAGGAGCCACTCGCCCTGTTCCGAGAGCAGCCGCTGCCATCTGAGGACCACCTCCATCTGGGGCCTGCCACCCGGCATCCAGGCGCCGCCTAAAGGGGAGGGAATAGCGGCACATATAAAAGATCATGGCACGTTTTTGGCGGGAAGACCGTTGGCGGAACAGGAGTTTCCCCGGGTCTTCCAGCGCGCTGCTTTGCTTATTTGCCTTCAATAAATTTCTACAATATATTTAAAAGAAAAAATTTATATCTGGTCATTTGACTATAACACCAGCAAGACTTTTCTTGCTTGAACTCCATAAGGTGTTGATTAAAACACTGTTTATTAGAGATAACATGAGAAGGGAAAAGGGGGTACCCTACCATTCCTTCCCTGGTGGGAATCCCAAGCTGTGCGGGATCAGATGGACCCCAGCCCCGGCACACTGCACAGATCTGGCTTCATCCTTCCATCTGTACCCTCAGAATTAACCAAATCTGGAATTCCTACCCCTTGTACAAACATTCCATACTTGTACAAACCCACATGGCTTCACTTCCAGGGAAGAGGAGACACACAAGGTGTAAATCCCGGGTGTGGAGCAGCACAGGCTCCTCGTCTGCACTTAGTGGGGGCAGGACTTATTAATTATGGCTTTGCTCCACATAATCCAAAGTCGGTTTTTTCCCCCTTAGTCTCTCCTGGGGTTTGCAGAGGGATGAGGACACTTTAGAAAGTTAATAATAAACAGGGTGGGTATCACTGAAGGGACTCTACAGTGCTCCACAATTGAGGTGCAGAATATCAACTCTTCCTCCTCCTCTTCCCAAGGGAAATGGCACACAAAGAAGGCACAAATAAAAAGTGAGGGAAGAAATAAGCACATGGAGATGAGAAGAGCTGGAGTAACAGCTGCATTGCCCAGCCAGGCACTATCACCCTCACAGCTTATTCCCAAACTAATCACCAGGATCAGTTTGAGCAGCAATCCCAAGGAATAAAGAGAGCTGACTCCTGTCAGGGAGCTTTTCCCAAGGAACAGATATATTGTCCACATCTTCTCTCTGCAATCTGCATTTACTGAGCCTGAGGAGTTGTACAAAGGGAGGTGTCAGAAGAATATAAATGGAGAATGAGGCCACAGAGTTGAGCTCAGCAAATACATTTCGAGTGTATTTGAGGGGGAAGGTGAACTCACAAAAAAAGACCTCATAACCACCCAGGTCAGTGATGAATAGGGCTTAAAAGGAGTGTTTCACCTGTCCTCCAGCTGCTTTTGCTGGGTGGATGACAGCACTGACACAGAGCAAGACGTGTACCAGGCAACCAAGGCCATGTCCCAGGCTTGGCTGAACTTGTGAGTACAGCTCACAGCACCTTCAGACTACCCATTTTTGCTGTCATTTTAAGTCACATTTAGTATAGAATTCCCCCTGTACTACAGGAATCTGTAACTCCTTTGATCTTGCTCTGAGTTCCTTACGCTGACGTTGATTCTGCCATTCACCCAGTGCCCACCCTCAGCCTGGACAGGTGGTGTGCTGAGAGAAGAGTGGCTGTCTGAGTTTATTTTGCAATCTGCAGAACCATTTGAAGAGCTTCAGTTTGCAGGAACAAGCTAAATTGGAGGTATGGCCTGTTCCTCACCAAGCAATTTCTGTAATGTCATTTTTATTAGTCACTCATCCTTTAGGAAATGTTTAACAGGCAGATAAAATCTAACACAATAAATCTCTATCAACAAGACAGTCAAATCTTTTGTGATGTGGATGAAAATTACATTTTTGGAGATATATTTTAGAAAAGAACAATTTATTGTGCTACTTTTACTGTGAGAAGGATGGGAGGGGGCATTACCAGACACCCACATTCCAAGCTCCTGGAATACAAGTGCCAAAGGGGCTGTTGGAAAAGGAGTCTTGTTTACAAGTCTTATCAAGAGAATGGTGCCAAAAATACTCTGAGATAATAAGTTTAGATACAATTCAGTGCACACAGACCTGCCCAGACCCCAGATCCTGTCATTTTGGGAGCAGACAGCACAAGGAATGTCATGGCCAAGTCCATCAGTGTGCTGATGCCAAGGCCAGCTGAAATACCAGGCAGGAATTTGGCCTTCAAAGTTTGTTTTTCTCACTTTAGTGGTACTCAGGAAATAGCTGTGTCAAGAAAGAGCCTCAGGAAGAACAGATTTCGCCCATATTTTAGAATTTTGACTGTCACAAATAAAATCTGAAGTATCTTCTCAGAGAAGAAAAATTTACAAGTAGCTTAATTCGGGAAATATGAGGCTGCTGAGAAGAATGAAAGCAGTGCTGGGCACGGGCTCCTGCAAACCTTAACCCTTGGAATTGTCCTAAGTCTGAAGGGCCCTTCAGTGGAAATTTTTAAGTGAGTTTTGATATCATGAGGTAGTATCAGAGTCCTTATGTGAGGAGCTGCAGCGTCACTGTGTAACCTGGGCTAGTGGAAGGTGTCCCTACCCATGGCAGGGGCTGGAACTGGATGATCTTTAAGGTCCTTCCCAACCCAAACCAGTCTGGGATTCTGGGATTCTAATTACAGCCTCTGCTGATGGACCCAAAATGATTCAACTGATGAGTTTCCCTGAAGGTTTTGAAAGTATCTCACAGAAAAAAACCTGTACCATTTCTTACCCCTTTTCTGCTGACAGTGATGGTCCCCTCAGTGCCACCAGAGTGGGGCAGGTGGTTCCTAAAACCTCACTGCTCCTGCTGCACTGCAGTTGAGTCTTCCATGTCCTGGGACATCCATTGATCTGCTGGACCAAACAGTCAGCTCCCCCCTTGTACCACTGAAGGAGTCACAGCACGGAGCTGCCTCCAGCTGGTCCTGCTGCTGTAATTCCAAACTCCTGATCCTCATGGCCCCTCATCTCCCTTCCAAAGGTATTTACAGCCCCAAGAGGCTGTGATTGCCCCAGACACCAACACTCTGCATGCAGGGACCATCCCTCTCCTCCTCTGAATTCAGTACAATCAGATGGAGCATCCAGGTGTCCAGGGTATTTTTAGACTCCCCGGTTGTGTTGCTTTGCTGTAGAGTAATAACCTGCTGCTCGTGCTGTGCTGGGGCTGTGGGACAGCCCCCCCAGCCTGCTCAGGGTCAGGAGGGGTTTGTTATTTAAAGCATCACTCACAGTTTATTATTTAAAGCATCACTGAGGAAAGTGAAGGAAAGGGAAGGAAAGGTTTGGGAGAGCGGTGTGGGTTTCTTTTCCTTTGCAGTTGCTGTGGCTGGATGTTTTTAATGGAAAGAAAATAAAATGTCATCATAACAAGTCTGGTGAAATCACCTGACACTTGTGTCCACTTCCAGCAGAGTTTATGAAGGGAACTGAAGAACACACCATTTCACTGATGCTCTAGGAAGTGAACTGAATGCATGAAGAAACAGCTCAGACAGGGAAGTTTCTTCTCTTTTCCAGTGAATAGCCAGGAGCAGGTTGTGATGATTCTCAGGTTCAAAATTATTCTACAAGATTCTTTGTGTTTATTGCCTTGCAATTCAAGCTGCACTTCTTGTTTTTAAAAATCTTATCATTAAGTGGCCTGGTTTGTACCCCTAGAATCGAAACAGTCTCCCTGAACATCATGAGCCACGCTCATATAAATGTTACTAGCTGCCTAAACTTGAGACAACAGACATAAATGTGACTTTGACAAAGAGATGGGTTGCTGAGAACTCCCTGGCATGAACATTCACGGAATGGCACCGTGAGGGAAGGCTGAGCAAGGCCGAAGCAGACGTGTTTACAGTCTCCAACAAACCTCTGCAGATCAGGTTTTGCAGTGTGTCTGTCACTGCTGGGGGAGAACAAAGCCTTCAAACCTCCCAGAGCCTGTCCCTCAGGACACAGAGCTGTTCTCCCTCACCTCGCTGCTGAGTGGAAAAGTTGTTTCCTGGAACATTTTTCACCAGCTCCCATTGTACCCTGGGCTCCCAGTTGGATTAAAGCTCTGTGTGGATGAAGGAGTCGATGACTGAGAGCTGGGAATGGTTGTCTGCCCTTGGCATTGTCTTCTGTCTGACGATGACACCTCACAAAGATA